GCCGGGATGTTCTGAGGCATAACATATATGATCACACCTTCCTTCGGAAGTGAAGTAATGCCGTTGGTCCCCATTTCAAGAGTTGATGGGTTGATAGGTAGGGTCCAGTGTGGAAGCTGCCTCCCTGGCGTCGGTAGCATTGGTGTTCAGCACGGAAAACAAGATCGACGGAAAACAAATCAAGGAAAAAAGGAAAAAAAAAAAAAAAGTTTCAAAATAAGGAAAATCACGGCTACGGCTCTTATTTACTGATTATCGTCAGGGGTTAGATAAAGTCTTAGAGTGTTAATTTTTTCAGGGCTATAGAATATGATACACCTCCATGCAAAAAATCAGCGCTCAAGGTCTTCTGACCGAAGCCGTCATCTTTTGATATTTTCCTGATTTGTCCTTAAATAAAAAACGAAAACCGTTAAAGTAAATTTGTATTGCTTTTTATTTGAATTGAAGTCACTCCGTCGTGGAGTCATTCTGACTAAGAGTCGGAGTCCGTTATTGTCAAACCAGATGAGTCGGAATAGGAGTTGAAGTCGGTCGATTTAAATCTGACTCCACAGCCCTGCATTTTCTACAACTTTTCAGAATTTCAGATCATACGATCATATGGTATGGGACTGTCAAAATAAATTGTGATCGATATTGTCAATATTCAGAGACAGTTTTAGTGATTTATCTTCCATTTAATTCCACTTAATCCACCAATATTCCATTTAATTCCACTTAATTAATTTTGGTATCCATCCACATCCATACGTATTTCGACTACAATGTGCAGTCTTCATCAGTGTCATTCCCACTAAAGAACTTATCAAAACCTAACCCCCCTAAAATGTACTCATCCCCTAGGTAAAAATGTCAAGATCACAGATATAAAAATGAAACTACAATGTGCAGAATCGGAACCTACCTAGCTAAAAACCAAAGATTTAAGTTAACTAAATGAGAAAAATCGATACAAATCTCTAAAAGGAAAATTCCCAATGGCCTGGTAGCCATCATAATGATGTAATGAAATTGAGTTGTTAGCGGAATGCTTTAAATAAAACAGCAAAAAAGGTAATCTTCCATTTAATTCCACTGCACATGATGGTGAAGACTGCACATTGTAGTCGAAATACGTATCAGCCATGGATACCAAATGTAATTAAGTGGAATTAAATGGAAGATAACCTTGTTTGCTGTTTTATTTAAAGCATTTCGCTAACAACCTAATTTCATTACTTCATCCAGGCTAGTGTCATTTAGGGTGATAACCACTCTCTGAATGTTTCAGCTCTTTTTGACGTTACACGGGCTGGCGCTTTTGGTTTAATGTTCAGATATGAGATTTGGTGGAAATTTTCATATACAAAATGCTCATATAAATTCAAAAGTGAATATCTCAATAAAACTATCCGGATTCATGCAGTCTCGGCAAAGTTGTTACTCATTGTTTGAACTACAAGTTTTGAAGATCTTAATTAAATCGAGAATAATGAAACTTTTTTTTTTGATCTAAAGAGTGTAGGGGTGTCATTGTTTCATGTATTTTATTCAAAATCTTCATACAAAATTCAATCTAAAAGCGCCAGCTCATCCTACAACCGAATGGAGCTAAAACATTCAGAGATTGGTTTTCTCACCTAAAGGCACAAATCTAGAGGTTGGCCCGTGGAAAATTAGAAATTTTATTTTTGTAGGCCAGTCTAATTCCCAGCAACCAAACGTGTGTGGTCAAATGCGCAACAGCATTGGAGTGGTACATAAAAAATCTCGAAATGACTGAATATCACATGATCTTGTCAATTAACCAGAAACACTTCGAATTAAGCTAAGGCTTTCTCCAGGACGCTATAAAAAAAAAACAAAAAAAAAAAATTCAAATTATATGATTGATCCTCGCGATTGGAAAATTTTAGCCTCCAATCAATTTTCGCTTTTTTTTTATTATTTATTGAATAAACCAACAATTTCATGCGTTTTTTGTACGAAAATGCGTTATTTTGTCATCAGAAAACGAGGCGTTTCCGTGATGGGAAAAAGTGGTTTCCCTAACACATTCGTCGAATATTAATACCGAACACGTAATCCTACGTCAAATCTACGGTCGTGTCTTCGATACAACCTCTTACTTTTTTCTATCCCAAAAAGATCGAAGAGTAGTAATGTTACTTATGCAGATGTTCCACTAATTCGGATACTCACTAATCCAGGCCTCCGTTGTTCGGTAATTTTTAAACTACGAAACTGCTCGGAACAAGTTTGAAAATCAGTTGAAACTTTAAAAATATAATAGAAAAAAAAGCAATCCGAACTTTTACAGACTTTGTTCAGTTAACCCCATTTAATAATAAAAAAAAAAAAGTTTTGACGATTTTATTGATTTATGACGAGTAACGGTGAGATGAAATTTTGAGCTTGATTGAAAGAAATTGTATTAAGTTTGCGCAGTTTTAGTAAATTGCATATTTTTGATTTATCTTATTTGAACCTGCAATTTATTGAAGTATAATAATCCAAATGAGCAAAAATGTTGCTCAATAGAAGTCAAAACAGGGATCTTTTATATGGTTTGGACCCGAAAAAAGCTACATCCGTTTTATTTTTTTCATAATCTGAAAAAAATGGCCGCTAAGTGATATACTTTTGTCCGTTCTGGGTTTTCACCCAGAAGTACATCACCTCAGTTTTGCACAACAGTTTAAAATGAGGTGTCATATGTTTTGACTCCGCGTAACTGACCTAACAATAATGTGACATACAGTACTTCTAAAACATTCATATAAGTAAGGTTGACCTCCAGCACAGTGCAATCCATGCAAAGATGCCTTGCTGCAATGACATTTATATAAGGTCTGGGCCAACAGGCAGCTTGCTGGTGTTAGAAGCAAAAATGTTGTAAACATTACTGAACATCTGCGAACAGATAGAAATACGTCACTGCCAACATACTGAGAACAGATAGAAATACGTCACTGCCGACAGCTGTTTCGTGAAAAAAAAACTTGCAATAAAATACGAACACCACTAAACATTTGCACATTTTACTAACACCAATAAGCCCTTTGGCCCAGACCTTATATAAATGTCATTGGCCTTGCTGGCGGTACTCTGACTGTCAGTTTTGACACATTACTCTATATGCAATAGCACAGTTCAAATGCACAGTTTCAAATTGCATCCTCGGCATAAATTGACTCAAGCAAAACCTATGGACACCATCCACTTCTACCGGAGATAAACTAGCCATAGGCTAAAAATCTCCTTAATAAAGAATAAAAAAAAAAAAAAAAAACTTCTAAAATTACTTACCGCTAAGAAAGAAAAACCAAGTTCAAACGATCTTTCCCTAACCGAGGTAGACACCGTTTTCCGTTCCGTTCGGTTTGTTTTTTTGCCTTCTCCATCGATCAATCCGCTCCTCAAACGGAAGATGCTCACAATACCACCCATACTTTTGTCCGCAATTTTTTTTTTTTTTTTAGAGATGACTAATACCTATATAAAACGGATGTAACTTTTTTTGCGTACTGAGTGGACTATAGTAAATCCAAGAGATCACTGTTTTGACCATAATTGTGCAACATTTTAGCTCATTTGGTTTACAATGCTTCAAGAAATTACACTTTCAAAAAAGATATTCCAAAAAGAGGTGTTTTTTGTAAACTTCATTCGGATTCTGTCAATCAAGCTCGAAACTATACCGATAAATCTTGGATAGCTACTTGATCAATCAGCAGCCAAATTGCATGTACACCCGTGAAAGTTAAAGCTCTTTGATTTTTTGTGAGAGAAAAAAAAAATACGAGGTGATGTATTTTTGTCTGGTACTGTAGATCTTACTCTATAATGCACCATTTATGGTGGAAGGCTCCAACCGGAATTATCTTCGGATAAAATGCCGATCAAGAATGTCCGGCTGGTTGAATGTCGACATCAGAGTTAATAAACACGACTCTAACTAAGCAAACATTTGGCAGATCTTCCAAACAGGGTCGGTATTAAAACTTAATCCGAGTTAAAGTTTATTGCCATTAGAGGGGCATGTTGTAGTATCCACCCCCCGCTTGACACTTGGTACTTCTGGCTTCACTCTTGGCGGGACTCTTATACATTGACTCGTTGAATCTAACATATTTTTTAAACCTTTTGTGGTAATTTGAAGAGTTGATAATAGAAGAGTTACACAGATTGAAACCAAAATCTACCTATCGAACTGTCAAACCGTCTACCTATCGAGCATAGTAGACAAACTGACTTTGTTGTGAGAAGTATTGTTATCGAAACTAGAGGAAACTTTCACAACCCAGGTGAAGTCATCTGAGGTGTAAACAAAAACAAAGGTTGCCAAAAAAAAGCTCATTGATCGACATCAGTGTTGCAAGCTTCACTCTGCGTAACTCTTCTATTATCAACTCTGATAATTTGTTGTAAAACTTTTGCGCATCAAGATCCACATAAATGTTACAATACAATACGTTCAAAATGTTCTCCTTGCTCGTTGCGATAGGCTTTAAACCTTCGATGTTAGTATCTGTCGCTTCTAGCTGGAATGCTTCACTCGACTAGCGAGAATCACACATATTTTGCATCATAAACAGCACTGTTGGATTTCTGATCACGTTTATGTGTGGGCGAATGCTACCGTTATCTTGTTATCGTTAATTGTAATAATAGTCGCACTTTTGCCGATAACATATGTTAGTTTGCTCAACTTGAAACCGTAAACTGCTCAGGGATTTCCAATGTACTAGAAATCTCTAATAGCTGGTAGCAAATTCGGGCAATTCCACCGGAAAAGACGATAAGGTTGAATAACGATGTCGGCCGGTGTGAAATCAATTTTTCATATGCGTATCTAATCACAACCCACCGACCACATATTTATTAATGGCGATAAGGTTAAGATAACTTGAAACAATCAAATTTACTACCGTTCAGCTGTATTTGGTAATGTATTACGTGTAAGCTTGCCGAGACTCTTGATTTCCATATTATAAAGGTGAATTCCTTGCGGTATTCTGAACCAGTTTGTAGAAAGAGTTTGACCAAGATGAAGGTGTTCATAGTACTAGCGCTGTGCCTGGCAGCAGTTGCCGCAGGTCCCGAAGAGGACAATTGGTTGCAGTTCAACAGACGTATGCCTGGGGCATACTATAGTTTGAAGGAACCTATCGCGAGGTCACCAGTGACAGGACGAATTGTGGGAGGCGTTGATGCCGAAATTGAAAACTACCCATACCAGCTTTCTTTGCGCCGCACTGGATCTCACAGCTGTGGAGCTTCAGTTATCTCCGACCGCTGGGCCTTATCGGCTGCTCATTGTACTTTCCCAACGCCAAATGTAGCTACTGTAAGTCGTATACTCGCATGGAGGTCTATAGAATATAGTAATTTTGAAGCTCACTAATGTTTTTAGATTACTCTACGTGGAGGCACTGCCAATCGATTGGAAGGAGGTATCATTTTCGATGTTGAATTGATCCAGAACCATCCTCAGTATGATGATTGGACCTTGTTAAACGATATCTGTGTGCTTCGTACTGTGCAGAATTTGCAGGGACCCAACATTGCTCCAATCACTCTGGTGCCCGCTGATACCTATTATCCAGGTGGAACTCGCGCTGTGCTGTCAGGATGGGGCCTCACGGTAAATTAAAATCATTCTAGCTTTATATCTTTGCAAATTCATTGTATATTCCTATTTCGCAGAGCGTACCCGGATCGCTGCCAGTCACTCTACAGACGGTTGACATCCCAGTGATCGATCAAGAAACATGCCTTGGTGGATGGCCGGCAGGATGGGTCACCGACGAGTAAGTGTTGTTGTGAGATCAATCTAGATTATCGATTCATGGAATTCTCTTCTTTTTACAGTATGCTTTGCGCTAGCGAGCCAGGTCGCGATGCTTGCAATGGAGACAGTGGTGGTCCTTTGGTCACTGGAGGACGCCAGATCGGTATTGTCTCTTGGGGCAGTTCCAACTGTCTTGGGAACGAACCTGGAATTTACGCTCGCGTTGCTTACCCGCTTCTGCGCAACTGGGTTTCGGAAGTCACTGGAGTCTAAGTGCCTTCATCTGATAGAAGCTTGATGAAAATAAAAAAAAAAAATCTTGTATTGAGAATTATTGAAGTTGTTTCAAACACGAAACTTAGCAGTTGCATCAAGTAATCCGTATTCTAGAAAGAACTGTCTGCTTGGTGGTTTTTTGGGCACACTCTCTATTTCAAATCGGGCACATACTGGATATAACCAATTATGGAAAAATAAATAAAAATACTCTCATACGTTCTGTTTAACAGATTGAGACCGAGAAGTCCTTTGTCGGCGAACACCAGTCTGCTCGTCACTTGGGTTGATCAACAAAAGGGTCATCTCGCCGTCAAACCCTTGATACATTCCGAAAATACATCATGCAGACGGACCATCTGTTCATTGAAAACCAATTAGCATACCTTTCACTGATGTGATGTTACGTGTTAGGAGAGAAAACGTTTTACAGTTGCAAATAGAGCATTTTACCGGACCGCCAAACCAATTGAAGTTCCGTAATATGCTGACGAAAACGATATACGCTGTGTATAAGACGTTGATGGTTCCGGTAGCCCTCTATGGCCAAGAAGTATTCGATGTCTTTGAACGTACGGTGCTGCAAACAATATTCGGAGGTTCTAGAACTAGGAAATGACTCACGAGTACAATCAAGTACATGGAAATTGTGATGCCTATAGAAAATGGGGATCGGATAGTAAAGTTCCAACTCGTATCAATGGACGTTGCGTAATAGTAGAATGAAGGCATAAGTGCTTATTCGTAGCTTTTTGTCTCCGGGTTTAAAAGATAATATGTAGGTCTCTTATATGTATTGAAAACCTTTGGCGGCCACTAGAGTGATGCGACCACCCGACCAGAGTGCTGTCATGGTAAATTGAGAGCTGATTGCTCGTAGACTTTTCATATGTGCGTCCTTAAATTCATGCGCCTCCTTTGACAAGAGTCCATAATTGTAATGCAGCATAATTTAGCTCCCTGTAATAGACACTGAGGTATGGGTATAGTTTGTTTGTTTGTAATCAACTTGCCATACAAATTGAAAGTACTTACAGGGGAGAGTCATTCTTAGCGATTTTTTATCTATCGATTTTTGAGACGTAACAAACTTTCGTATAATCGATGTGAATCCAGATCCTAACCTTGATAAGCCAAACATTAAGTGAATTTTATTACAAACCAAGAACAATGAATTATCGGCTCCGTAATACTAACGCAATTGAGCCTTGCAAATAAACGAACTAGATAAAAAAAATATTCATTGCGCTATACAATTAGTAAAGCTGCAGCTTAAACATACACAAAAATATCTTATCCACAGCAAGACGAGTTATTCTTGAACAATTACTTGGATTTTTTCAAAAAAATTGATTTTTTTGCATAAAATGAAAGCTACAAGTGTGTAGAATATGTGGCCAAAAGGATTTTACGATCCGAAACATATTTAGCGAGTTATGGCGCTTTGAGTGAACCTTTGTCATGCGCGCTGAGGGACGCAACAAAAACTTTAAACGCATTTTTCTCGAAACCATATTTTTTATAACAACTTAGAGCATAGGGCTTGAACAAATGATCCGATTTACAATCGGAAAATTGCGCTTTGAAGGATACTATTTTTTGTATGGCTTATACCTAAAATGAAAAAAAAAATTGTTAGTTACTATTTTTTAAGCAAGGTCAAAGTGAGAAAAAAAGGGGTAAAAAAAGCACTAAATTTTCAAATGTCCATAATTTGGTCAATTTTTGTCGGATTTCGTTCTAGTTAGGTATAAGCCATAGGGAATATTATCAACTTTAACCAAATTTTCATTTCAGTTCACCACCAGAGGGTGTGCACTCGAAGTTCTGCAGCAAAACCTGACTGACACTCCTCCACGCGAGCCGCCATTTTTAACCGCCATTTTGTTTTTTTACCTTCAAAAAATTTCCAAGTATTCAGGAATAGTGGACAAATAGAATTATCGAAACCGGAAGTTCGTATGTCTTTTCATTCTCCTGAAAGTTCAACTGTTTTTCAGCCAAATCCAAGTAAACCTCCCCTTAACAGAACATTCTCTGCGTGAAGCTAATGTCAATGTCTGCTCAAGAGTATTTCTTTTATTGTTATCACTGAACGGCATAAACCTTGACAATCGAAGAAATCGTTGGTCCGTTTACCTCTCACATTCAACAACACATATGAGTTTCATAAGCGCGATTTATGAAAGATTTTCGTCTAACATGACGTAGCTTTTATATGCCTTTAGCAATTTTTTTTCCCAAGCGGTCCAGAAACAGGACCCGTAATCTCAACGTCGATGGTTCGGTTCCAGTCTGCTCCATTTTATTATTCTTATGGAATTCATACGTTCTTTTGCCTCAGTGCAGGTGAGTGGTGAGTACACACCACTTGTAACAGTCACACAGTCGGCTAGGGTTCAAGACTCGGTGAAACCATGGTGATGCTTTTTTTAATCTTATTTTTTCTATCATAGCTCATTTTACTACTGCTTTGATCTTCAGCAGCTTAAAGAGCTTTGTTGTTGGTTTGATATTACAACAACTTATTTTGCTTTTATTCAGTTATAGTCCCATAGCTTTTCAGTTATTATTTTTGATATTTTAACTCTTATTTCGATCAAACCAATAACAAATTGAGATGTTCTGATATTATTTTTTTAATAGTAAAACTTGCTATAGGTTTGATATTCTCTTCTACTCGGGACTGTCATTGTTGTGTGCGTTTAGAATATAACTGTAATTTTATATCATGCCGATATGAAACTCAAATCATAAAATTATACATAGGGGAAACAACCCTATTGTTGCGATACGTTAGCAGCGTTAGAAGCCTATGGTTGTGTATGGAGACCTCAATACGCAACAATAGGCTTCTAACGCTGCTAACGTACCGCAACAATAGGGCTGTTTCCCCTACTATAAAAGCATAAAGTTTTGAACTCAACAGTAAAGCTGGGTTTATACGGTTCATGTTATTTTCCATGATAGGCATGCGCATTTAATAAAATTGATCTTGAACCAAAAAAGCTGTACATGGACTAATTTTCTGGACGTTCTAGTTAATCTGATTTTTCATATCAGTCGGAGTTGGTACTTTTGACTTTTTTGCTCAACGATGCATCCGACCCCGACTTCGACTCCACAGCCTTAGATACAACATGGTGGCACATCGGCAGGACTATTAGTGCTATTAGTCTATATGATAAGTGGACCTTACACGATACCTTTTCTCCCTAGCTTTGGCGTTCTTACACGAGCTCAAGATATAAAGTATTGCCAATTTTCCAGTTATTATTGTCGGTCAAGTTGGACACCGGAAAGCCCCACACGTGACATTCGATTTTACTCTCGTTCTGTACATTAAACATAACGTTGGACATAGTGCACATAGGTTCGGATTATATCAGGAGTATTTGGGCAAGAAAGCTGATCAAAATGTTAAAACTTAAAAAGCTGCACGCAACTGTGTTTCTAACTCTCCAGTGCGCTATGTGGCAGCCATTTTGGGTTCCTTTGTTTTGTTTTAATCCCGTTGTCAGCTGTCAAATTTCTGCTGTTAGTTGCATGTCAAAATTTCGGTTGAAAATAGGGAAAGTTCTCTCAAATGTTACGCAATTTTAAGCTAAGCATCAACCTGATTTAAAATTGATCTTCAAGACAAAGGTATATAGAATATGTTGAACCCGAGAAACAATTAATTTCAAAGCGCAAACATAGTAATTATCAAGGTAGAAGCAAGTCACGATTTTTGCTAATGTGTTTATGTTTTAAAGGTATTTTTGTTAATGTTCCGGGAATTTCCGGGCAGAATGTTTAATACTGTTGGGTAGATTAGGATTCTAACAAATAATCTATAGCAGAAAAATTTGTGAATTTTTGAAAATTTACGATATATTGGAAGACATTTCATTTTGCATATGCTTGCATGCAATTTTTGAAATTTCTGTCCATTGTATTTTTTTAGAGTCTAGAACGTTGTATTTGAGTATATTAAGAGTATTGAATTAATGTTGCAATGTAATTGAAATAGATAAATTCTTATTGCACTTTTAGGGGGTTTTTTTGGTTTTTACTTTTTTATACAATTTTACTTGCAAACACATTACTAGCAAACATTGAATCAATTTTAACAAAAAATCATCGCTTTGTAGTTTTGGCCAACTTTTAGGGTAAAATATTCCTATGTGCAATATGCGAATACAGCGCACTATGTCCGAAACTATAGAGATTGATGACGTTTATCGTACGCATAATACGTCACGTATACGTATTTCATCGGGAAAAAAACTTCATAGCGAAAAATTTTCCCGATGAAAACAAATCACTGACACAATCATGCTTTAGCAATCTCTATGTAAAGCGTACGAAACAAGACTAAAACCGATTGTCGCGTGTGGGGATTAGCAGTAGTAGTAGTAGTAGTAGTAGAAGTAGTAGTAGTAGTAGTAGTAGTAGTAGTAGTAGTAGTAGTAGTAGTAGTAGTAGTAGTAGTAGTAGTAGTAGTAGTAGTAGTAGTAGTAGTAGTAGTAGTAGTAGTAGTAGTAGTAGAGCAGAACCGTACATCAAAATAAGTCAGTTTGGTTTTTATCTTCTAATAGAGTTCTCCAGATGCACAAAAGTGTGCGTGAGACCGCGCGCTACCTTTTTAAGTAGTTGTGATATCGCGATACCTTTTTGGTTCTTCTTCTTCTTCATTTTTATATATGAACGTTGGACTTTAGTGTTCGTGAGATTGCGCTTGGAGATCTCTATATCTGTGTTACAATATATACAAATGCAAAAATACTATAGGCTAAGAAACCTCAAAAAAACAACAGTCATTGAAAGTGCTTTGGAATACTCAGTTAAGAGTCGGCGTAAAGTTCCAGTTGGAATGTTAAAACCACGAAAAATAAAGAAAGTGTTCAAAAGAAGTATGAAGAAAGGAAAAATGATGAACGATTAAGAATTTCATTCATAGCAATTAATATATTGATCAATTTACTATTTTATACACCAGTGTTCGCGCTGATAAAGTTGCGTACACTAGCAGCACCAATGTTAGCGTAGACTCCAGCCAAGGATCCACCGCACTGGACTGCACCCCACGAAACAATACCGAACTGGCGTCCTCCAGTAACGAGTGGACCACCACTGTCTCCGTTGCACGAGTCACGTCCTGGTTCTCCGGCGCAAACCATGCTATGAAATGAAGCAATAATATTAGAAAAATTGTCTACAAGATTCCTAGTTTCTGATAACTTACTTGTCAGAAATAGCTGCGGTTCCCCACTGGCTGCGACAAGTGGCGATAGTTACGACGGGGATGTCAACAGCACGCAAGTTGGTTGGGAGAGATCCTCCAGGAACAGTCAGACCCCATCCAGAAACAACGGAGCGGGTACCACCAGCAAAGTTGGTTCCACTCGGGACAATAGTGATTGGAGAGATGTTAGCTCCAGTAAACGATGTGGTTGTTCGCAGAACCGAAACATCGTTATTAAGGGTGTTGCTATTGTATTGAGGATGATTAACGATTTGAGCCACAGCAAAGATCACTCCTCCGGAGAGACGGCTAGCGCTTCCTCCACGCAGAGAAGCCTAAACATTTAAAATGAAAAATCAGTAAATTAATATGAACATTTCCATTCAACAATGAAATACATACACTTCCAGCGCTAACTGGAGCTACGGTACAGTGAGCAGCGGATAAGGCCCATGTGCCGGAAATGACGGATGCACCACAGATGTGGTTGCCATTGTGACGAAGCGACAATTGGTATGGGAAGGCTGCAATTCCGACTTCATTTCCTCCTACAATTCTTCCCTCGTACGTTGGTACTTCGTATCCTTCCAAACCGGCAGGGCGAAGCTTGTTGTATTTCTGCCAGAGATCCTCTTCGGGACCGGCAAACGCGGACACCACGCACAGTGCTAGAACGATAAAGGCCTTCATTGTCACTCCGTACTCTACTGAAGGTTTTAGTCGATTTTGGTGACTTTTATACCTTTTTAATCCTTATCTTGGGCATAAGATAATCGCACGTTTATCGTGAAGTAAAGGAAATACAATGGAGTGTTTCCATTCCAACTTACTAATCGATCAGACATTACCCTCTACAATATAAATAAAACTTTGCGCTAGGGACAATCATTCAAATTGGTGCTGGAATTTGGCCATTTTGACGCTCGTCTTATTTTCCAAAATAAAGTATTCCATATTTTAAATAAATCATTAAGTCTCTTATAATCTAAAGGACGTTTGAGAAAAAGAAGTACTGTAGTACCTCGTTAGTTTGAATAGCTAAAATTGATATTATACGGTGCTCATTTAGAATTTGTTTAACTGATTCCCTTACACAGGTTTCGTAGATGAACTAGCACGTAGCAAAAAGGCTTTTAAATAAAGCTAAAAAATAAATAAAGGGTTGTGTCCTAGACACGACTGAAGTATGACGTAGAATTACGCAAAATAGATGTATGTCATTCATTTTTGACTATTATACTTTATGTTTCGGTTCTTCTTTGTTCTCAAATTTGTAGGCAAACCCTAAAATTATCATGCATCATCATTATGTAATTTACAGCGTGTTCGTAGAATGATGCAAATATAGTATTTTGACTTTTCTCAAATCCAACGTTGGTTTCCAATAAGTAGGTGCTTATTACAACATTAATTGAAAATAAGAAGGAATCAGTTATTGGATTTCAAAGTCAGAACAAAGCTCGTATACAGGTTCTCCACCTGTTCAATGTTTTGATAGTAAGCATCATATTTAAGCATCATAGTTAAATCCGCATAGATGTAAACATCTCATTAACCGCTGTCTTGCTCCTGCTTGCTGCAAGACCCAGTGCCACGCCGTCCCAAGCGGTAATGAGCAGAAGCAGAGACTTTGACTTTAAATGATCTTTATTTTTTGTAATTGTGTGGTTTACATGTATTACTTGTCTTGTGGACGCCACTGCCACAGTTGGCGCATTTATCCGCAGAACATTTGGAGGATGAGCAGAAGCACAACAGCAGCGCTGTTTTATATCTTTTCAGGTTCAAGTAGAACGATGTGCAACCAAGTGGTACTCGATTATGACGACTGGGTTTGGGAAAAACGTTTATTTCATGAAAACAGTGATAAAATTATCATTTGTACATTTTACCAGTGGCTTTTCCCTAACCTCAATCTACATGTGCACCAACTCTCAAAACATAAACAATCATCAAAATATTGCTAACAATGGATAGATATCGAGTAAACTAGAAGTGTATTTTTCAACCGATTCGAATATGAATATGGCATTAAATCTGGTTTCGAAAGTTGGTGCGCAGGTAAAAAGTGAGGTTACGGCACGCCACTGCATTTTTCAAAGGCTTTTTATGGAAAAATGAAAAAAAAAATGTATTTCTCCAGATTTGTAATGTAATATCCTATCGTTTGGTGCATTTGGATTTTAATTTCTTCTATAAATGACAAAGTTCCAAGCGTTCAAAACCTAACACTATTTCACCTCATATATTTTTTGATTTACACCCCAGTTTAGTAGACAAAGACGTAGTTCTACGTCAAAAAACTTACACAGGTCCGTATCGCCATTGTCCACCTGAACTACTAATTCTAAATCATTGATTTTTTTTAATACTTTGGGTAAGTAAAATTTGGATGCTCTTAGTTTAAGACCTTTCTTAGCATATACGGTGGCCTCAATCGTACCAACCGTTCAAAAGCTACAATGAGTACAAAGTTATGGTGTCACGTTACGAAAATGTAATGAAGATGTAGCCTTTTTAAAATGCAAACAATAAAGGAGTATTTGTTAATAATACTACGTTTTGGAAGAAGGCGTTTACGACTTATGACATAATATTTAAGTTAATGACACAATCCATGGCAGTTTATCGCCAAGGGATCAAAATTGCAAACTGCATATTATGACCCAAACTTGGCTGTATACGAAAAAGAGTTTATTGAATAATAATTATTTAAATTAAAACTGCATTACGAACAGAAATTAGGATTTCGAACACTATGTTTATGAACGGGCTTTAGCGCGTTAATTTTGATGCTTATAGATTGCGTTATATATGTATAAGAAGAATATTTAATGATGGTTGTATGCACTGTATGTAAAAAACCTCAATTAAGCAACCTATGATGTGATCTGATCCTTCTTATATATATCATTTTATATATCGCATTATACACACTTAGTTTTTTTTCTACCGAGCTCGGCTGACAAAAAGTTTTACTGAGATCTTAGCTAACATTTCATTTGTTTGCTGAGATTCAGCTAAGCATTATCCGAGACTCAGCAATCAAATGTCACTTTTGCTGAGATCTCAGTGAAACTTCTTTTGCCGAGATTTGCACAGCCGAGCTCGGTAGAAAAAAAACTAAGGGTATAAAAGTTAACTCAAGTCAGATTCTAGCCGCTTCCTTGGGGCGTCCGAATAATGTCCGGGTGTAATCAATGTGATCCAAGAAACTCAATATGACTACCTATGGTCTTATTGTTGTATTCTCATTGTTGTGGTTGGCATCAAGGCTTTTAGTTCAAGACACATTCTGTCCACTTCAACGGACGAACTCGGAACTTTTCCGGGTTTGGTGAATGTGGTCCTGGGCCTCCACCACCAATATCACATATGACTCCGAAGAAAGGCGTGATCAGAGATTGGATGCCTCAGAAAATCCAAGTGGCTCCGACTGGGATCGCACCCAGGCTTTTTTGGGGTTACACGCAATCAGGCTTACCACTACACAACTGGCACCGCTGGCTGTGTGCCGCTTGATGGGTTTTAGTTCAAGTCAGATGATGGTCACTTCTCCGGACATGTACTAGATACTCAATATGACTACCAATGACCTTCTTTTTGAATGCTCATGTAACTTGGTTGTAGTACAATTCAAATTATGACCACCTCGGAGGAACCTGGCTCATGCCTTATTTTACCAATCCACAGTGGGCTAGGAATTAAATCTAGCAGGAAAAAAAATAATATCGCTATGGGATTGCATCCAATTGAGTGGACGTCTTCAGCGAAGTCTCTTAGAATAATTAGGACTACGATTTGGTGGATAAAAAGTTTGTTGATCTGGAAAATATTGGATTGATCAGTACCGATCGAGCAAAAATGATAAAAGTATTCTTTTGGACGATTGTTCAAAATATAATACTAAAAACGTGTATTTCAGGAAAATTTAATAAAACTTCGTACATCTCAGTTATTTGAAGATGTATAGCTTTTATGTCGTTGGCAAGTTTCCAAAAAATTCTACGTTCTATAACTTTGCCTAACACAGCAAACCTCTATCTTGCGAAATAAAAAAGTTGGTATCGCTGCGCCATCTTTCCGGCCAAAACTTGAACAATTTTCATCCACCAAATTGTAGTTCTAATTAATCTAAGAAACTTCACTGAACACGTCAACCTTCCTAGAGCGTTATTATTTTTTCATGCAAGATTTAGTTCCTGACTCACTGTGCAACGTAGTTTTGGACACTCAATATGACTATCAATGGTATTGTTTTTGAATTCACATGTGATTTGAGGTATCGCATGAAGAGTTTTGATACAAGTTAGAAATTGGCCACTTCCTCGGGAGGTACCCGGCGGTATGTCCGGGTGCGGCCAATGTGATCCTGGGCGCTCAATATGACAACCATTGATTTTGTTTATGAATTCTCAAGTGATTTGTACCGCATGATGGGTTTAACACGTTTCAGGTCGGTTTTAGCCTCATGGCCCATACACACTGGAATTTGTTTCGGCCATATCTCCAAAACCAGTTGATCGTTCCAAAAATATAATTTGCATGAGACCATGCCACCTTACATTTCGCGGCTGTAAAGGTTCATTAAGGTTCAATGATTGCCGAGAAACACGACTTATTTCTTGAAATCCGTATTCACCGGAACTTGTTCCGACCATATCTCTGGAACCGGATGACTGATTCCAAAACTATAGACCATATCTCTGGAACCGGATGACTGATTCCAAAACTATAGACCTTTTTGACGTTTAATCGTCTTTCTCTATCTAGCACACATTTATGAATGCATAGTTTGTTTTCCCACTAATCTGTTTCCTTGTTGCTCGCACTCGTTCATTTTTAATGGTGCTAGTGTGCGCCACTTAAACGTCAAACAGCTCTATTCAATATCGTTCTTTGAGACCATGATACCTTTCATTTGGTGGTTGCTGCGTCCAATGCGGATGCTGAATAATTGATCTTGGAACTGTTTGCCTCATACACAAGCCTCCAAAAGCGAACCATCATCCGGTGCTTTCGCTCCAGGACTGCTGAAAACAAGTATGGTGCGCAGCTTGCAGAAGCCGAGTACAACAGTTCGCTTTCGTGAGTATATCGATAACCTCCAGAGTGGCTTCAAAGAAAACACATCGTCGATCTGGTCTTTCGTAAACGCTCGCAAAAGATCAGCTGGTATTCCGGCAGACGTCACCTACTGTAAACGAAGTTCCTCCACCGATGTCACTTCTACAAATCTCTTCGCTGATTTCATAAGAAGCGTTTTAGAACTCGATCAAACTCCTCCGCAGCAGCAGTACATCGACCAGGTACCGAACTACAACATTCGTCTGCAGCAGCTTACCTTCAGCCATGACGCTATTTTCAAAGCCCTTTGCTCGGTGGATGCATCCAAAAGCCCACCCGAGTAGCACATTTCCGACTCCAAAAGTTGCAGAAGCTTGTTTATGACTGGAATAAGTCGTATAGGAAAATCCACAATCGATTTGCGACAAGCGTGCTACTATGGCAGGTCCGGATCGTATTCCGCCGTCTTTCATCAAGAATTGTGCACTCCCTCGTTCCCTCCTGGATGCCGTTTTTCCGGAATACTGGAAGCTTGCATCAATAACACCGATCTTCAAGTCAGGTGACATTCACAGCGTGGAAAACTACCGACATATCTCAATCCTTAATTGTTTAGCCAAAGTTCTCGAAAGCCTTCTGCATGACAAGATGTATCCAGCTGTGCAATCTATAATCCCGACGTTCTCCAACTTGAAGAAAAGCGTCAGCAAGTAGACGCTGTTTACATTGACTTCTCTAAAGTGGACCCTACACGATTGCTTTTATTGACAATAATCGTATTGTCAATACATTCTATATTGACATTAATATATCGATGTTGACAATATTTTTGTATTCACATCATCAATATTATTGTCAATAATTCCCATTCGCGTCAATATATTGATACGTGTGGGGTTCGCTTAAGGCTTTCGACAAAGTTCCTAATGACCTCGCTATCGCAAAGCTGAGCCGCTTTGGACTTCCACCGTGGATCGTTCGCTGGTTAAAATTATATTTATCCTCCAGGAAGGCCTTCGCTACGGTTCATGATTCCAGATCCGATGTGTGCGCTTATTGGTCTGCAATCACTATCGAGTCGTTGAATCTTCCTGCAGACACTATTTATTTTTGACATGATTTTTTTCCCTCTGTTCGGGACATAGTCCTTAGTTTAGTACATGTCGTATCATTATTGAGAAATGGCGAAATATTCGTTTTTTTTTACAGTTGCCATTCTTGCCTTTATCGCAAGGATCCGACTCTTATTGTAAGGTCCCGCTCTTTATACCCTTCGGAGTGTTGGAACACTCGGAAGACGCGCTCCTTTGTCAGTCAAAAACGGATTCCTTCGCAACAAAATCAAGCAATTACATCGATAATGACCATGCATCAGAATCCTAGTCTTAACCACTTCAAACTATGGAACAACTAATAGAAGATTAGGAATCACATAGATGAAGACTAACTAATCCACTTTTTCCTTGTTTCAAGATCATCCTCGGTGGACAAAGCCGAGTCTTGTCTCTATCAACAAGGCATAAAAATTAACAAGGACTAACATGTGTTCCTTTGATTACTGAAAAATCCTGTTCCCCTAGTTTGAAGTAGCCAGGACTAGGAATCGGTGGTAGATCTTACATCCTGTAACGTACCACGAAAAGGTGATCTACCCACGTTACGGGGTCGACATGATTAGTAATCATATTGACTACAGTAGTGTGCTCCGGGATATAAACTTCCACGCTCCAGTCCATCGTTTCTGCAATACGTACCTTTTGACTCCTGGACGTACTGCTTATGGCTATTACATTCCACTCTACAAATGTTGCAGACTGTTCAATGATGTGTGTGATTCTTTTGATTTTAATATTAGTAACTAGTTTTTAAGAATAGAATAAGTCCCGATAATTCAGTCTGTGTGGCTCCAATGCCAAAGATATTCTGTAGAAGGGTAAAGCGGACGAAGACATACATAGTTGACCCTATATTAAACTAAACAATTTTTTTAAACATTTTGATCTATTGGCTTTCTTTAAAATTGACCGCATTTTTGTAACGGGATACCTTTTACAAAACACTGTTTGGAGATTAGCATAACCCGACACTTACGAAATGTTTTTAAGGGGGTATTCCCGATCTTTTTTTTTCAAAAAATCAAATTTTTTTTTTCACGTTTTTTTGTACTTTAGACTATATACTTTCATCCCCCCAAGCCGTTTTCCGATCAGTGAATTCGGTGTCCAGGCATAGCTGACTAATGGTAAGAACCCCCAAAATGGTTTTAACTAAAGTCAAAACTTTAAACGCGTTTATCTCGAAACCACATTTTTTTTATCGGGCGAAGATTTTTCTCAGAAACTATAAGAGATATTGACTTAAATCTTTGCGCATTTTGTTCCTTATTAAATTCTTTGGAGCTTCTCCCACTTTCAGCCAAAAATATTAACATTTAACATTGTTTGAAGCACCTTAAAGCTGCAAAAAAGCGGGCTAAAAATCGCCTGTTTTTTTCATATGGCCGCCATTTTGTTAATTTGCAAGATTTTTTGCTGCCAACGGGAGAAGCTCCAGAGAATCTTATGCAGATTATTAATTTCATCACGAAATCTGTTTCAGATGAAGCCGTTCCAGAGAAAAATCTTCGCCCGTCCAGGCGTTTGCGGCGAACAGGGGTCTGTTTGCCGCCATGTCTTTTTTATGTCGAAAAAAATTTATTTGTAAACTTTAATGTTCAATAAACAAGAATCCCAAAGAGTTAGGCGCATTACTATTCATTTTCCTTGAAAAAAAAAAATAATTGAAAAACAGGCCGAAAAAAGGCAAAAGATTGGGAATACCCCCTTAAATGAAATTGCAACATGAATTTGCCGTACACATTCAATTGCTTAGAATTTCCCTTGAATGTCTTAAATTATATTTTCAATTTCTGCTTTTCAAACATAAGCACACCTTATAGGTGGAAAACATTAGTGCACTGGCAAACATGACGTAGATCAAAATTACCCATGAAACTGATAAGGGGAATAGCCCAAAATGTCGTAGTCGATAAAGCCGGGAATCCATGGTTTCATGACATTTGCACAATCATGATAATCTTTGCATCACTGCTACGATGATAAAACATTATGATAAGCGTATCACTTTACACATATAAGAGTAAATATATATCAGCAACAGGGTTACTTCCACTCAGTTGCTATAAACAAATGTTTTTCAGAATTATGAAATCATGAGATGGTATAGTGATAATTAGTACTTGTAAGTTACAAGATGAGGACGTGAAGTATGTGTTTGACACATAAAATCTGTAAATATTGCTTTCAGTGCGTCACAATCAGCAATTTTACGACTCGTGAGTGCTCACTCTGAGTGAACGCTCACGAATCATAAGATCGCTTATTGTGACGCACTGAAAGCAAAATTGGCAGTTTTTATGAGTCAAACACATACTTCAAACCCTCGTCTCGTTACTTACGAGTACAGCATATCATCATATCATCTAATGATTGCATAATTCCGAAAAATATGTTTTTTATAGCAAGTGAGTGGAAGCAACCCTGATCAGCAATTGATGCGTTTTTTGGGTATTTCATGTTACGAAAATTTACTTTTCATGTTCTTCATGTTACATTTGGTAAGTTGGTGCAATTGTCTAAGACGGTATTGATAATGTGGCAAAACTGTCTCAGCAATAAGTAGTTAATAATTGTTGGCCTACGCTTAAAAGTACGTAATCGCTCCGAGTGACTTTTTCGAATGACCTTCACGGAATGACCCGAATTTTCCATGACCTTCACGCCATGGATCAAGTGACCAAGTTGTATCAAGTCTGGGGTCTTTACTATGTCAATGTCAGTACAATTCTTGGTCAGAATGGCAATTGAAATATTATTAATTGCATCAAAATGTTTTGGCCAATAGCAATGGGGATCCAAGGATTTTGAAAGAAACACAAGAACATCAACCGTACTCGAATGCTGTGTGTAATTATTAACTTGAAGTGTGGTCTTAACAAGAGATTTAAAGTAGTATTGTTTCGTTGAAGCAGCTGTTCAAATTTACTCGCTGTTTGTGAGTTATCGAGTTTGATTAAGAGATATTGATTTTCGAGGTTTTTACGCGGGATTAAGCTGGTCGTAGATAAGGATGACCAAGGTATAAAAGCTACCACGTAAGTCGTTACCCTCCAGTAGAGTACGGAGTGACAATGAAGGCCTTTATCGTTCTAGCACTGTGCGTGGTGTCCGCGTTTGCCGGTCCCGAAGAGGATCTCTGGCAGAAATACAACAAGCTTCGCCCTGCCGGTTTGGAAGGATACGAAGTACCAACGTACGAGGGAAGAATTGTAGGAGGAAATGAAGTCGGAATTGCAGCCTTCCCATACCAATTGTCGCTTCGTCACAATGGCAACCACATCTGTGGTGCATCCGTCATTTCCGGCACATGGGCCTTATCCGCTGCTCACTGTACCGTAGCTCCAGTTAGCGCTGGAAGTGTATGTATTTCATTGTTGAATGGAAATGTTCATATTAATTTACTGATTTTTCATTTTAAATGTTTAGGCTTCTCTGCGTGGAGGAAGCGCTAGCCGTCTCTCCGGAGGAGTGATCTTTGCTGTGGCTCAAATCGTTAATCATCCTCAATACAATAGCAACACCCTTAATAACGATGTTTCGGTTCTGCGAACAACCACATCGTTTACTGGAGCTAACATCTCTCCAATCACTATTGTCCCGAGTGGAACCAACTTTGCTGGTGGTACCCGCTCCGTTGTTTCTGGATGGGGTCTGACTGTTCCTGGAGGATCTCTCCCAACCAACTTGCGTGCTGTTGACATCCCCGTCGTAACTATCGCCACTTGTCGCAGCCAGTGGGGAACCGCAGCTATTTCTGACAAGTGAGTTATCAGAAACTAGGAATCTTGTAGACAATTTTTCTAATATTATTGCTTCATTTCATAGCATGGTTTGCGCCGGAGAACCAGGACGTGACTCGTGCAACGGAGACAGTGGTGGTCCACTCGTTACTGGAGGACGCCAGTTCGGTATTGTTTCGTGGGGTGCAGTCCAGTGCGGTGGATCCTTGGCTGGAGTCTACGCTAACATTGGTGCTGCTAGTGTACGCAACTTCATCAGCGCGAACACTGGTGTGTAAAATAGTAAATTGATCAATATATTAATTGCATTGAATGATGTTCTTAATCGTTCATAATTTTTCGTTTCGAAATTATGCTTTCTTCATACTTCTTTTGAACACTTTCTTCCTTTTGCGTGGTTTTAACATTCCAACTGGAACTTTTTTTTTTTTTGACGTAGGACTACGTCTTTGATTTCTATATGTACCCCCACTTTGTGAAAACCGAAAATGGAACATGTAACAAATTAAGAAAGATTTTGAACGTTAATAACTCAGCTGCCCCTGGTCCAATTTCAATAATTTTATCACCAATCGATCAGAAATATGGCTACGCATCTGAATGTTGATTTTCAATAAGAAACTATTGAAAACTGGTAAATGTCCAGCATTGTCCAAAAGCGTTGAATTAACTAACAAATCCACCAATTACCTACATGCATATGCTGCTTCCCCAGCACAGTCGTCAGAGAGTAGTAAGTAGACGAAACAAGTCGAAGTGGCATTCGCCTCTGATCCTCGGGCGCGTGCGAATAGGGAGGATGGAATTGCGTAATATTTTGCACACTCATCGCCATATTCAGAACCAAACGCAAATTCTTCGAGATAAACACCATCCGTCGTCTGGCTCGCCGTGGCGGTGTCTGACGTATCTCCGGTCTGATTTACGAGGTGTGCAGAAGGTGTTCCTGAAAAATGAAATCCGTGATGCTGTCACCTACACTAAACACGCCAAGCGTAAGTGGTCATGGATGTCATCTACGTTTTGAAGTGACAGTGACGCACTCTGTTTGGTTTCGGAGGTTAAATCATCACCAACTTTGGCAACAAAACGGCTCTTTTCAGTAAAGAATAGGAATAGAATTCATCTGCCTGTTTGTCCATATTCTGAACCAACGACCACACAAAATGGTCATGTAATAAAACTGGAAGCATGGATACAAATTATTTTGATCAACCTTGATCAACTTTGAATCGCCACGGCCGGATATTTTCGATGGAAGAAGCAACAATCTAACATCTAATTCGACGAATACGGCAGGAAACATTTGTGAAGCCGAGTTATTTACGAAAGAGAGTGTCGATGAAGAGAATCGATCAATGTAGATAGGACCTATTGAAAAGTGACGCGAGATTTGTTTTCCGTACTGAGCTCCAATGCTACCGACGGCAGGGAGGCAGCTCCCACACCTGGACCCTACATATCGACCCATCAACTCATGAACAGGTAATCAACGGCTTTACTTCCCGAAGGAAGGTGGGATCAGATATGTTATGCCTCAGAACATGCCGGTGCGACTGAGATTGAACCCAGGCCTGCTGGGATGAGAGGAAATCACGATAACCACCGGCGCCGATATCTTTCAAGGTGATATCACGGCGAATGAGATCGACCCAAATTTGAGTTTAGTTATCTCAGAAATAAGAAATAAAGTGCAGGAACTCAGCAATGAGTAAATTTGCCTCATGTTTTTCCAGGATTTTCCAGGGAAAAATTCCCGAATTTGAGAAAAGTAAAGATTGGATTCACTCAGTCTATTGGTACTACTCCGAGACTCAATAAAATTTTTGTCAATTTCCTCATTTTCTGGCAGATTTTTTAAGGTTTTCCACAGGAAACCATGAGACAAATTTACTCATCGCTGAGTTCCTGCACTTTTGACGATTATGAGCGAACTAAACTCAAATTTGGGTCGTTCTCATTCGCCGTGTACGCAAAAGGAAAAGAGCCAGTATCGCTACTTGATAGCAAACTACTCATAATGGGAGGAGTCTTTGTAGCTTTTATACCACTTGGTTGCACATCATTCTGCTTTAACCTGAAAAGATATAAAAGAGCGCTGCTGTATGGCATTAGGTCATTATCATCTCGCTCAACTCATCTCTTTTTCATTCGCTGCCAGACTGTTGAGCAGTTCAGTCGATTTTTATTCTCTCTCGTTTCGTTCGTTCGTTCGTTCGTTCGCAAATCGAATTAGCTCCGCGTTGTGTAGTGACGCTCTCGCTGACCCAGCAATGGGTAAGAAATCGCGTGGTAACGCGAGTGCCGGTTTACCGGGAAAACAGCCTCTCCCAGGAGACGGCACGACCACCGAGCCAGCCCAGAAGAAGCAGAAGAAAACCCCATTGCCCGTCCCGAAGGGCGTTGCGGACCCGCAGACGGGGCCTCCCGGAACTAAACGACCCAGACCTGAAGACAGCAGCGCCACCGCATCGGCAGCAAAAAAGCTGCTGAGAAACAATCCGTTCTCCGCCCTGCAGAACGGAGCCCAGCCGCAGTCGGACCCTGAGACGGTGCCGAAAAAAGTGAAGTTGCCACCCTTCTATGTGAAGGGCTTCCCTCCCGGGCTATGGGAGCAGCTGGATTTCTACATTAAGCATAGCCTTCGTTGCACCATTCAACGGTGCACGGAAGGCTACAAACTGATGGTCCCGGCTGAAAAACACTGCAACGCAGTCCTGGCCCTCTTGGACAGGATGAAGCTGGAGTACTTCTCCCACGACGTCGAGGCCACCAAGCCGCTGAAAGTGGTGCTGCGCGGGCTCCACGACATGGCCACCACCACCTTAATGGACGAGATTAAGGCGAACGGCCTCAAGCCGGTCGAAATCCACAAGATGACCCGCAGCAAGGCTATCAAGTATCGTGACCAGTTCTACCTGGTCCATCTGGAGAAGAACTCCACAACCGTGAAGGATCTCCAGACGACACGCACACTCTTCCACATCGTAGTGAAGTGGGAGCGGTATAAGCTGACCCACCGTGGCGTCACTCAGTGCTCGAACTGCCTATTGTTCGGGCACGGCACCAGGAACTGCCGCATGGCCAGCCGCTGCATCAAATGCGGCAAAAACCACAAGATCGACGACTGCGACAGCATCGAAGAAGCCGCTCCCACATGCGCCAACTGCGGTGCGGCCCAGAAGGCCACGAGTAAGGACTACCATCGAGTCAACTGGGTCCAGTTTCGGCGCGTGGTCGACCGCCACATCGAAGACAACCCACCGCTCGACACAGTGGAGGACATCGACTGGGCCCTGGAGGGTCTCCATCAAGCCATATCCGTGGCTGATGAAGAGTGCGTTCGACGAGTTCCTGTGAGGGGTAAGTTTCAAGCAATTGATTCCCACACCAAAGTCTTGATTCCCACACCAAAGTCTTGATTCGGCTCAGAAATGTTCGTAGACGCCAGTTTCAGCGGACTGGGGATCTGCAGCGTAAATACGAAATGGTCGATCTGAATCGGCAGATCGCTTCCAGAATGGTCTCAATCCAGAACGAGAGTTTCGGGCAGCTCGTTCAGAACCTGGACGACCGTTCCAGACCATTCTGGAAGGTTGCCAAGGTGCTGAAGTCTCACCCCAAGCCCATTCCACCACTTAGAGTCAATGACGAACGGCTTATCACCAACGAAGAGAAGGCCAATGCGATTGGGGAGCACATTGCCCAGTCGCATTTGCTTGGCTCTAAAATCCCAAGTCCACTCGAGAACCAGGTTGCGCAGTGCGTCCTGACGTTAGATGCCTCCCCTTGTGCGGTCCCTCCAGAAGAACGGATTACAGAGGAACAAATTTGCTCAGCGCTGAAATACAGTAAGAACATGAAGGCTCCCGGGTTTGACGGAATATTCAACCTAGCGTTGAAAAATCTCAGCCCGAGGGTGCACTCGCTGCTGGCTGCCATCCTCAACAGATGCTTGGAGCTGCACTACTTTCCAAGCATCTGGAAGGTGGCAAAAATCATCCCGATCCGCAAACCTGGGAAAGACCCTTCACTACCGTCAAGCTACAGACCGATTAGCCTGCTCTCAGCGATGAGCAAGCTGTTCGAAAAATTGATCCTCAGCCGACTGAACAAGTTTGTGGAGGAACATGACATTCTTCTTCCGAAACAGTTCGGGTTCCGTAAGGGGCATTCCACCAATCATCAGCTAGTGCGGGTGATGAATAACATGCGAAGTAACAAAGCTGTATCCAAGTCCACAGCCATGGCCTTGTTAGACGTCGAAAAGGCGTTTGACAATGTCTGGCACGACGGACTTATATACAAGCTTTGTAACTCCAACTTTCCACCATACCTTGTGAAAATCACCCGTAACTACCTCCAGCAAAGGTCGTTCAGGGTGTCGTTGAATAGTTTCCTTTCGGGACAATTTCCGATCCCAGCAGGTGTTCCGCAAGGGAGTCTGCTGGGACCACTGCTTTACAGCATCGACACGTCGGACATCCCTCCTCTAGGAGACGGTTGCGTGTTCTTCCTGTTCGCAGATGACACCGCGATAGCCGTCAAGGGTAGGATGCCTCGTGAAATTACGAACAAGCTCCAACGATGCCTTGACACCTTTACTGATTATGCCACCACGTGGAAAATCAAAATCAACGCCTCGAAAACCCAAGCGATCATGTTCCTTCACAGACAATCGCCAAAACTTAAACCGTGTCCCTCCTGTACCGTAATAATCGATGGTACAAAGGCCGAGTGGTCCGCTGATGTTACTTATCTCGGGATGTTGTTCGATGAGAAGCTCCTGTTCCGCTCGCACATAGAAAAAACCCTAGTTAAGTGCTCCGCCTTGGTTAGGTGTTTGTATCCGCTCATTTGCCGCAGATCCCGCCTCTCAAGGCAAAACAAACTGGCTGTCTACAAACAGATCATAGCCCCCGCGATCTTCTATGCCACCCTGGTGTGGGAATCGTGCGCTCAGACCCACAGGAACAAAATCCAGGTTGCACAGAATAGAGTGTTGAGGATGATCCTAGATCGTCCATTCGAACACAAGAATAGCAGACCTCCATCAAGAGGCAGAAATTCCCAAAGTAGATTCCAAAATTGAGGATATGACAACCAAATTTATCCAAAAATGCAATCTTTCTGAACATGCTTTAATAAGCTATTTGTACATAGTAGTTTAATGAAGCCCAACATACTATTTGCTTTCGTTATGATTGTATTATAATGTTCTACAAAAGTGAGTTTGGCGTCTAGGATTACACCTAGGTCCCTTACAATTTTACATTCTTCTACTTTTTGGTTGCCTA